ATATATATATATATATATATATATATATATGTTTTACATTTTCTTCCTTCCTCTACAACTTTATCAGATGCACACCAGTCATATTCACTTCTGTTTCCATTTTTTGTTTGCCAAAAGTTACCCTGAGTAGCTGTAACCTTTTGATAAAATGTGATGTCACCACTGTTCGCTCATCTGAATAGCACAAATATTTGCCTCTCTGATCATGACTACCTCAGCCACCCCCAGCCCCAGCTCTGCCAGCATTAAAAATAGATGTCAATTTAGGAAAGCTCTAATAGATGCAAATCAGTGAATATTATAACAGTGATGGTGATTTAAACATATATCCCTTAAGAATGCTAAAAAAAGTGACTCTATTTTGGCATATCTTGTAGAAAACTGGAAAACCATGGATTTAGCTTCTTCCTTTAAACCAACCAAATACAACTTCATAATATGTTATTTTCAAGATGGTATAGAGCCAAATAATTTTGCTGTAGCATGTTAATACACTACCAAAGTTCAAGAGGCAATTAATTCTATTCCAAATACCTCTATATGAAATTCATATGGGCATTAAATTTGACGGGCTGCAGCTTAATTTCATAGGTTGCTAAATGACAAATATCCTCTGCCTTGTTAAATTTCAGAAGCTAGAGCAAAAACAGCCTGGCCAAAAAAAGGGAGAGGGGACATGTTTATATTTTAAGACCCTCCACAAGAAGGAAGGAGAGTGATCTTGAAAAGATATATTCCATAGCCTGCTTGCAGGTGGGGTGCAAATCTTATGGAGTGATTTGACCTCATGTCTGGTAATCACTGGATGTTTATCATTGTGCTTAGTCCTTCCTTCCTACTGGAGGCATGAAGTTTTGTGCAAATGGGGAACTTTTGCTTGCAAGCAGTGAGTGATGCTGAAAAGCAGAAGCGAATTACAGTTGTCTTGCAGACAATGCTTAATTTCTCCAGTGCCTCAGCCCTCTAGCAGAGGATGGCAGGACTGTGTGAAGAGATCCTAACAGAGAACTGTCATGTTGGAGGTATGCAAACACTGTGGGTAGATAAGAGATTCACAGTTTCCTCTTTTGGGAGAAAAAAGGGATGGCATTTATGTTTTGGTACAAAATAGAAGCGGCACAAGGCACTCCTTGCTGGAAATAAATGAGCTCCGATTGGCTAAGACATCTCTGTTTTCATCTCTTGGCCTTTAGTTCCATGTGGGCAGACTCACAAAAATTAAAATATCTATTACCATTTAGGCAAAATTTCAGAAGAGCCTGCTCAACGTATGCTTCATTTTAATTGTGAGGCCAGGCAACTGGAGGGATGGTAAGGCTGGTCAGTTAGAAAGTGCCTATATACAACCTACTGTTCTGACAACATCCAAAGCATTCTGATTGTTTTCTGATTGTTGTTTTCACAGCAGAGCATTCTTGCAATTCAAACAACATCACATGAGAAAGTTCATTACATCCATACTACCAGCAGGTCTATGGAGAAGTCACATATACATACACATCTTCATTTTTAAATTTCTGTTTATATATCCAACACACATTACCACTGATCAGTGTATGTTTAATATGACCAAAACAGTCATATAGTCACAAAATACAGTTTTCATAATTGTGTCAACCTTCATCATTAATTTCCATGATTTATGAAAGTATTTTAATCATAGAAACTAACTTGCAAATAGTGCACCATATTTAACCATTTAGGGCTTACATAATATTCCTACATAATATTCCTACACAGAGGTGATTGCCACACATCACAAAATATCACAAATGCCATTGTAGATGGTTTAGAATATAGATTCACCACTGACTTAAGCTACGTTTATCTCTGTAAAGGTACGTATGTATTTTTTACTGTCAAAATCCTGTTTTAAAATGCAATTATTTCTTTTCAGCTCAGAGAATCCTTTAAAGATCTGAGAAAGAAATTCAACAACATGAAATTCAACTACAGCAAGAAAACGGAAAAAACACGAAATCTGAAGACCCTAAGAATTCAGATTCAACAAATGGGTGCTTTTTCTGAAAAAAATCAGGTAATAATTATAGCAGTTAGGGCACTGAACGCATGCATGAGGTTTATTCTGAATGCACACTGATGACTAGTGTAATCTGTTGAATGTTTCTTCCATTTGCAGCTGATGTAATAGAACACCAAGGTCACATCATTTTCTTTTAATACAGTCATTGACTTAGGGTAGGTTGTGTGTGTGTGTTTTGAAGTTAGAAACCAACTCAAACTTCCCAATCTGCTTTTCTTTATATACTTTATTATTATGTTATTATGTTATGGCTATTGCCATAAACATATTTTTACATGAACAAACATTAAAATGCCTGGAAAAAATCTACCAAATTAGCATAAGATCTCATCTGCCAACGTGACTGATGATGCTATGCAGCGATGCCTCGGCTTTGCCTTCACTGGGAATTATAAAAAATGTACAGTGGGGCAAAAAAATATTTAGTCAGCCACCAATTGTGCAAGTTCTCCCACTTAAAAAGATGAGAGAGGCCTGTAATTTTCATCATAGGTATACCTCAACTATGAGAGACAAAATGGGGGAAAAAATCCAGAAAATCACATTGTCTGATTTTTAAAGAATTTATTTGCAAATCATGGTGGAAAATAAGTATTTGGTCACCTACATCCTGGAGTGGCCTAGCCAGTCTCCAGATCTCAACCCCATGGAAAACCTCCTGGAGTGGCCTAGCCAGTCTCCAGATCTCAACCCCATGGAAAACCTCCTGGAGTGGCCTAGCCAGTCTCCAGATCTCAACCCCATGGAAAACCTCCTGGAGTGGCCTAGCCAGTCTCCAGATCTCAACCCCATGGAAAACCTCCTGGAGTGGCCTAGCCAGTCTCCAGATCTCAACCCCATGGAAAACCTCCTGGAGTGGCCTAGCCAGTCTCCAGATCTCAACCCCATGGAAAACCTCCTGGAGTGGCCTAGCCAGTCTCCAGATCTCAACCCCATGGAAAACCTCCTGGAGTGGCCTAGCCAGTCTCCAGATCTCAACCCCATGGAAAACCTCCTGGAGTGGCCTAGCCAGTCTCCAGATCTCAACCCCATGGAAAACCTCCTGGAGTGGCCTAGCCAGTCTCCAGATCTCAACCCCATGGAAAACCTCCTGGAGTGGCCTAGCCAGTCTCCAGATCTCAACCCCATGGAAAACCTCCTGGAGTGGCCTAGCCAGTCTCCAGATCTCAACCCCATGGAAAACCTCCTGGAGTGGCCTAGCCAGTCTCCAGATCTCAACCCCATGGAAAACCTCCTGGAGTGGCCTAGCCAGTCTCCAGATCTCAACCCCATGGAAAACCTATACCTATGATGAAAATTACAGGCCTCTCTCATCTTTTTAAGTGGGAAAACTTGCACAATTGGTGGCTGACTAAATACTTTTTTGCCCCACTGTAGTTCCATAGAAAGTTACAAATACACACTGAAATGGTGCAATGTGTTTTATTTCCTTTGCCCTCCAGTAATCCTGCTAATATTACACAGCATAAACTTACTAACATGGTTCTAACATTTTTCTTATGTACTTTGGAACAGGTACTGAGAAAGAAGTTAGAGAATCTACAGAAGAAAGTTTTAGATTCTTTACCAACTCAACCAAGTGACAAAGCTGAATTTATTTCTGTATCAGTCAATGAATTAGAAAAACAGCTGATTGAATTTGGGAAGATTATGGAAGATTACAAACAAAATTTGGAACTGATGGAACATTTGCAACAGATGATGGAAGAGGTATAACAAAACCCCGAATGTCCTTTGTATCTAGGATAAGATGTCAGGTCTGAGATTTAGGAAACAAATGTAGACTCCTGTATACCTTTCATATGTCTGTCATCTATCAGCTCATGGATTTAATTAGCAAAAGGAGCCTAAATGAATATAATCATTCAATTCTTAACAATTGTCCACAGCTTAGACTTAATTTCTTCTTATTTTAGTTAAATATATAGACTAGCCTGTTTACTCTATAAGTTTTCCTGAACAAATTTATAATAATGAAGTAGCTGTAGGCAAAGAAAAATGAAACCCACAACATCCCATTCCATCTTCCTGTGCTTTAAAAATGTATATTTTGGCACCGAAAGTTGTACTATAATGCAGATGAGGAAGCATATTAGGATGTGTTTCTCACTGAATAATATGGGCGATAAAGACTGGCAACATGCATCATTGGATGTGCAACTTGGTGACCCCATCCTGGTGACCCAGTAGTCTGATGGTCAGAGCACCTGGCATTAAGGCGTTGCTCATAAATGCCAGTTCTCTCTGTAATAAAACCAAGTCCATTCACAATACGGTGGTGGACAAACAGACAAATCTGGTGTGTATTACTAAAACCTGGCTGAGCAAGGGCAGCAATGTTGCCATATTGGAAATCTGCCCAGGTGGATTTCAGCCTTGAGGACAGGGCTGGGTAACACTGATTTACCATTAGACCTTATTGGTGATCAGGGTCACTGTCTCCAAAGTAGTGGGGTATAAATGCCTATATATTAGGCTGGGGCATAAGAACAAGCTAGGGATGTTGTTGGCATATCAGCTTCCCTGCTGCCATCCGGATCCTTCCCTGGACATCGTGATCTGGTCACCAGGCTGATTGTAGAGTTACCCCACCTATTGGTGTCAGTGACTTCAACATCCACACAGCAAGGACTGGTTTCAACTGGACCAGGAGGTCAAGTGACCCCCATGGCAACTATGGGCTTGTCTCAAATAATCTGGACCCTGACAGACATAGGTGGTTATGTGTTAGAGCTTGTTATCAGTTTGAAACAGTTGATATGTGATCTGGATATGGAAGGTATGACCATCATCCTTTTCTCATGGTCAGATCACTTCCTGGTCCAGATGCAATTGACACAACTCCATAAGGCCAAACCCATTTGAATGATCTGCCCCAGGAACCTTATTTTATTTTATAAAAAAAAAAAAATTCCCCTCTCACCCCTATGGGTGCTATGTGCCTTCCTCAATCTTGGATCCTTTACCAGAGGCCTGGGAGTTTGAGGGTTCTGTGCAGTATCTGAGCTGTTCCTAGCACTGCACTCTTCTGCACAGAGAGCTCTGATGTTGTTCCTGGGATCTGTTGGAGCCATATCTATATATACGTGTGTGTGTTGTGTGTGTGTGTGTGTGTAATTTATAGGACTGCCCAATTTGCAAACAGCAACTCTGGATGGCTGACATAGAATTAAAAACAAAAAAGAGCCAATGGACATAAAAACCACAAACACACATAGTACAATGTAACCAAGGTCAAACTGCAATCATACTAACACTGCTCAAAGTGTTTCAGGATGAGCTCATCCAATGCCCTGGTTCAATGCTCACAGAAAACAGCAAGTTTTCAAGGCCTTTCAAAAGGCCAAGAGGATCAGGGTCTTTCAAATCTTGGGGAGTAAGTTATTCCAAAGGGCAGATGCTACAACAGAGAAGGCATGCTTTCTGGGTCTGGCTAGGTGCCATGGTTACATAGAAGGGACCCAAAGCGTGCTCCTCTTGTCGGATCTTGGGGCACTGGTGGAAATAGTTGGAGATAGGCAGTCCCATAAATAACATGGCCCTATGCCATGAAAGGCTTTATACAGTAGGTGGTAACCAGTGCTTTGAATTGCACCTGGAAGCCTATAGGAAGCTAGTACAGCTCACAAAGTAATGGTGTTATTCAAGCCTACTGTGGTGCTTGCATAATTACTGTGCTGCTGTTTTCTGGAACTATTGTAGCCATGTACAGCATGCTTCAATCCTCCAAGTGAGAGCTGATCAAGGTGTGAGTGATCACAAACAGGGCCTCCCAATCCAGGAACACGTACAATTGGATTTGTGGAAGGCCAGCAGGTGGAGGCTGTGGCCAGCAGGAGGCCTGTGCCAGTTGTGGCCCTAGCTGGGGTGAGAGGACTTTACTATAGTGACTCATGCTTTCATCTCCACCCCTTCAGACTTCTGCAACATGCCCTTCACGGGGCTGCCTTTAAAGGATATTCAAAAGCTCCAGCTAGTTCAAAGGGCTGTGGCCCGTGCATTAACCAGCACTCGGTGGTGGGAGCACACAGGTCCTTCACTGGTTACCAATAAGCTTTAGGGTGCAACTGAAAGTGCTGATCTTCACCTATAAAGTTTGGCAACTAGTTACCTTCAGGACTGCCTTCTCCCACTAGAATTGGCCCAACCGATTCACTTTTGCTGAGGAAAGCAGCTTGTGGTTCCCTACTTTCAGGAGATGAGGGGGTCCAAGGCTCGGTGCCAGTTTTGATGAGTCAGGATTCAGTAACTGATGGAACTCTGTTTTGGAACAAGAAAGCCAGCATATGCAGGCAGATAGCCTTTGCTGGACTGGGGCTGTAACACAATAGCCTCAGATTAATAATAGCAGTAGCAGCAGCAAAAACAACTAAAGAAAATCTACCACTATAGCTAAATTATTATTTATTTAAACAATGTACAGTATATAGCCGTCCATCTCACAGCAGTGACTCAAGATTCAAACCAAAAAAAGGGAATATATAAAATTAAGGACCCAAATGCTGATCCAAAATAGTAACTGTAATAATGATGATGATGATGACAATGATGATACACTCAAATAGAATATTTTTTTCAAAATATGAGGGTAACCTGCCTGAAAAAGTGGTTAAGGTGTTAGCCTGGCCCAAGAGATTCCCAAGCAGAAGTTCATGCTCAGCCACAAAAACTCACTAGGTGATTTAGAACCAGTTGCTTACTCTCTCTTAGCCCAACCTACTTCACAGGGTTGTTGTGGAGAAAAATGAACAAAGGGAATGCTGTATACACTGCCTTGAATTCCTAAAGGAAATTTTAATTCCCTTTCTCTTACATAGTGTCAGTTTTGGTGTGAGGAAGCGAGTGCAACAGTACATAGGGTTGGAAGATACTCAACAGAGTGCAAGACGAGGGAAGCAGTGGAAATACTCTACAAGCAATTCAAGAAGTTCATTGACCCTGTGGTCCCTCAGCAAGAAGAAAGAATCCAGCAGGTTACTAACCTTGCTAAAGACTTATATGGTAAAAACTTACAACTTAAAAATCCCACATACACTCTGAATATTGAGTTGCTGTTCCAGGATGGATGAATATTAGTTTATTTAAAAAATTTTTACAGTCTATCTTTTGGAGGATTCCATAAAGATTAATACTAAAGTGCAGAGGCATAAAAATATCACAAACAGGTTTCAAAATCTGCAATCAGGTTTTTGACACAAATACTTCTGAAAACAGCTCCAGAATGCAGTAGCCCAAACCAAAGGAATATGCAGGGAAATGACAATCCAGCTGGTAAATGAGCTCCTCCCTCCCTCCCTCTTTTTGTGTGGAAAAAGGATGAGATATTTTTGTTACTGCAGGACTATAGCAGACCTGTAATTTTCTGTCCTCCTTCTCAGCATTTGAAGTCAACAAAAGAGATCATCTTTAAGGCTTGGGAATGTAAAAGCAGTAGCCGTATAGAAGTGCTCATAATTTCTACTAAGGAAAGTTTGCCAAATCTTAAATGTGTGGCTTTTTTTTCCAGTCTACACTTGTGTCCTGGCTTTCTGATACTTTCATACAATCATTGGCACCATGAGAGAGAGAAAAGACTACCACTGCAATCTTCAGTAAATCAATTAAAAATAAAAATATAATCAGTACTCACAGCAAAGGGACTCTGTATATTAATCACTGGGATTGAAAAATGGAATAATAAATGCAAGAATAATTATTCTTAAAATTTTGAGCTGTCAATTTTTCAACTTTAAACATTAAGCCAAAATGGTATAGTGATTAAACTGTTGCAGAAGCTCATTGGTGACTTTGGGCCAGTCCCCTCTCTCAGCCCAATCTACCTTGCAGGATTGTTGGAAAAGTAGGAAGAGTGAATACTGTATACCCTGCCTTGAGTTTCTGTACAAAAGGCAGGATATAAATGTAATAAATACATTAAAAAAAAGTGACTGTTTCATTGTATCTTCATTATCTGAAAGAAAGCTGCACTGAACTTATTGCTGGGATTCATTTCTAACTAATCATGCAAAAAAGGTTCCAGGGTCTGGAAAATGGGTCCAAATTGTCTGGGATCCATAGTCAAAGTATCAGCTTTTCATTTACATCATTGTGGATAATGCAGATGTCCTATTATTCCATTTCTGTAAATTATAGGTAATGAAGAAGGAAAGAAGTATGTTGAAAAAATAGCAGCAAAACACAAAGAAGTTCTTGATTCTATCAGTGAACTATGTAGCTCCTTGACAGAGCTTGAAGACAAGCTTGGGGTAATTTTTTTTTTCCCTACAGAAAAAATGACTAGTCTTTAGAGCAGAATCCATTAACCATTTATGCCATTAAAACGTGTTATGGAGAGTTGGGGAGATGATGCAGGACAGATATTTAAGGATAGCGAGTAAGTGAGCCAGCAAGTGAATAATAAAGACATAAATATTCAGGCCATGCAGAGGGGTGTTTCCAAGGGGTGTTTCCAGGCTGGTCCTTTTGTGTAAGTGGATTTCTAAACACATGACATTGGATTCTACCCATACATTGGATTTTAGCCTTAAGAGTCTGCAAGTCAGAAATGGGTTTAGAAATGAAAAGTCAGTTGCTGAGCCATTACAGCATCTGGCTTTTACTTGGGATAGGGCATGTCTAACTATGCAACACAAGATTTGGCGTAGATTTCAGGGAAAGTTGCTTTTCTATCACAGTAGCCTCTATGGCCTTCTGGTGTATTCCAATGCCCCACAAAACCAACCTACTTAGGACAAGGGAGGGGGCTTTTTGGCAGGTTCACAAACTCTGTGGAAGAGACCTGTCTCACTCCCTCACTAACAACCCTTCTTTTAAGAAGGCATTCTACTGAATAAGTCTACTGCTGTTTTATCAAATTTTGGGCTGCAGGGCTCTCTAATGTTTTGCTTTGTCCTATTTCTGTGGGACTTTTTAGTGCTGTGAGCCACCTAAAAGGACAGCTGGGATCTATTGTGAACATGACAAACCAACCAAGAACAAATACAAAGTTTATGTTGTGTTGCTTTGTATGCAGTAGTCTGAACCCCAGATCTCCTGCTGCAAAAACTGGCATTTCCTTGCTTGTACAGATAAAATGTCAAAGCCCCCATTGTGGAAAATGGTTTATACTTTGGTTCCTGGCCATTACATAGAGGATTTGACAAAGTTAATTATTATTTTTATTGCCACATTCAACTACTTTTGGTTCTGTTTCACAGGAAGACTCATTAAAGGGGAAATCACCAGATTCTAATAACTCTGATGATGAACTAGAAGCAGAACAAGACAGACAGAAACAGAAGATAGATAAAGAGTATATAAAAGAAAAAGTACATGAGCTGAAGCAACAGGTTTGTACTTTTTTTCCAAGTACATTTTGTGTAAATGGAACTAAGGGCTGATATTAGGGAAGCATTTCAAGCATGAACATCCTTAAAAGAAAAATCTCTTGCCTGCAAAATATATAATTAGGGAAACATCTCCCACGCTGAATTATTTGCTTTCTTATCAGTTAAAATTAATCCATTCATGTCATAAACTTGTGTACTTTTTAGATGGCTTTTTAACATTATCTGAAAACCCATTTATAATTAAAATAGAAAGCCCTGTTATTTCGTTCACCACTGAAAAGGTAACATTAAGAAAGATAAATGGTTTTATTTTCTAGAGGGGGAAAGTTAGGTTAATCTTTTTCAGAAAATCCAACAGAGTCTTGTGGAACCATAAAGACTAATTAAAGACTAACATATTTATTATATATTCCACCTGATGATTCATGAAGGATAGTTTTGTCTGAGGAGTATTATTTATGCATATATAATGCTGGGCAGTAGGACAAGAGATAAGGAAATACAAAAGAAAAGGTGGAAGACAATGGTCACTTCTGGACAATCAATTTTTGTCTCCCAATCCTGGGCACCCAAAATTGATCCAGGCTGTCCTGTACATTTGGATCCATGCATCCACAGAACTTGCAGCAAATCGTCTGGCCAATAAATGAACAAAGAGCCAATCAGTTGTTACATGCTGGCCAGTGATTGTATCCTTTGGCCAGCCTTTCCAGATCTGTACTTAAACCCATCTCTCTTCCCACCATCAAAAAATGAAAGAGCTTGTCATGGTGGCAGACCTCTGTTACCTTCAACATGAACACCAATGTGCCTGCAATTCTGCTTTTGGTCCCTTTGACATTATCAGGACAGCATAATGGGATTTTGGGAGGTGGGAGGCAGGGCAAATGAAAACTCCCTGTCAACCTAAGGGAGGAGTATATTGCCATTTCTGAAGTGGCATTCTCTGCCTTAAAATTGCGTGTCCCCATCTGCAGGTACAGTACCATTGGCACAGAGATATATCAGGGTTGTTCACAATTGCAAGCACCTAGTTATGATGGTTGGAGGCAGTGTGATTTGCGTTGGTGTATGAGTGTTCCTAAGAGTGGGATCCTACCAAGTCAAGGTTTAGTGAAACAGGTTTATAATATTAACAGAAAGAAGGGCTTGTGGGAAGAAATATATGATAAGGATAGGCAACACATAGCATGTAGCTACCTACATTCTATCCAATAGAATTAGAGAGCAACCATTCCGTGCCTGGGAAGAATGGCAGAAGGAAGGCTCTGAGATCACCAAAGAGCAACTGTGGAGGGAAAGTCAAGGAGAGAGAACAGAATAAATCCCTATCTATGTCCCATGGTGGTCAGTAGGTTGTGAGGTGCTAAGAGTCAGCGCCACTGAACTCACTGCGTAATATGGCTAATGGGAATGGGGGGCTCATTTCATCTTTGCCTGGAAAGTCCAATCTCCATAAGAATTGCACTGGGTAGCTAGTTAACATAGAATAGTTCTACATCTCAGACTCCTACCTCATTATGTGCCAGGTCCATCCTCCTCCAGCTTCCCACAAGAACTGATACCAAAAGCAAAAATACTACTCATCTCACAGATCAATCACACATCCAATTAAATCAACTGTCACCCAGCAAAGCTCATACTATAATATTTCATAGCATAAAAGTACTCTTATAGTCAGTACTGTTTAAAAAGTACAGTACTCCCATCCAGAATAAGGCCATCAAGAAAAGTTACTAAAGGTTTGAGTTATGGATGGTTTAAGGAAGGACAGTAAATATAATAGGTTTTTCCCCCCATAATAGTTATTATAAAGTATAACTTAAATTGACAGTATATAAAGGTATCCTACTCACTTAGAAAATAATGGTTCAGCCATTTTTATTCACACAAACAAGTTTTTGAAAAATTATCCTGTGAAAGCCTAGGATTTGGACAGTACACTGGCATTTTTCATGGATTCAGTTATTAAAATTATTAATGTTTCTGAAGTGGGGCAGAAATTTTTAAACATGTAGTGTTTAGGCATTACCTCTGCCTCTCCCCCTCCCCCCCAAAAAAACTCTAAGGAAATTGTTTTTCCCTCTTCCCTTTGGTTTTAGAGCAGGGGTGAACAGAAGGTACATTAAGATCCCCTTACAAATCTCTGAGTGATTTGTAAGTAGGGGAAACCACAGTTTAACCAGAGAAATGTTCCTCTGCCAGAAGTTTATGGTATTTTAAAGAAAGGGAAAACAACAGTTTTGAATTATTGATGAATAGCTGGATTTACATAACTTCCTGGGAGCAACAAACACCAAACACAGGGGTAAAAGAGCTGTGCCTGATTTTAAAAAAACATGTAGTTAGGTTAGCATCCTGTGTGCTATACTAGCCAAGCAGGTGCACCAAGAAATAAAGTATCTCTTCCATGCTGAATATCTGTAGTTACTGAGCTTCATAATACACCATGAATACAGATGTCCCATTCATTATTAAGGCAAATAGCTAGCTATAAAATTATCCTTCATGATAATAACATTCAAGCTAGTGGCCATCTCAAAAACTATCTTTTCAGAATCTGTTTCAAATGCATATCATTGGGGGACACAAAGTTATGGGAGAAGCAGAAGACTATTTTTCTACTCTGTATACCTTTTGTGTTATCATAGTGCAAATAGAAACTATAGCTGTTATTTTAGTATTACTTTTCTCTATTCATTGTACTCAGTAATAGTAATCTTTGGTCTGACATTTAAATGATTAGCTTAATAAATTAAAAAGGACATAGATCTGAATATTTCAAACTTTATTTCTAAGTCTAAAATATTCAATCGATGTCCTTGCTGTGTCCTTGTCATTGCTATGGTTTCAATAAAAATACATCTCAGAAAAACGGAAAAACAGTGATTTGCATGTTTGCTCAGACTGATATCTGCTCTCCCTTTCAAAGATTCTTTATTTTAAATTGGACTAAATGGCCCTCCTGACCAAGGACTATTATTTGTAATATTAAGCTATAGTCACTCTAATATTTTTAGCCAGACAGATCTTTAAAATTATCAAAAAATTATGTGAAAGGAAGACAAGCCTTGAGTTAGTTATAAAAATAATAAAGGCAGGATAAAAAATCTACAAAAAAAAGGCAAAATAAGTTTTATAGACATTATTTAAAGTATCTTTTGCACCCTTCCCTTCCCTTCCCTTCCCTTCCCTTCCCTTCCCTTCCCTTCCCTTCCCTTCCCTTCTTTTTTGCTTTTAAGGAAGAGAAGATCTTTGTGGAGACATCAGTTGTTTGCCCAGCTGTTGAGGATTCTATTTCACAGGACTCAGAGTTGTGTTCTCCTGTCAAAGAGGAGAGCTTTCAGACTGAGCTCCTGACAGAAGATGCACTCTCTGGAGATGAATATGAGTGTATCTCTCCTGATGATATCTCATTGCCTTCTCTTTCTGAGACCCCAGAATCCAACCTTCTGCCTTCTGAAACAGAACTAGAAGAACCACACTGCAGTAGTTCCCGTAGTGTGCATGTCAGCTCTTACAGTATACAAATGCCAATAAGTGCTGGCGGTAAAAGAATGGAAGATGATTCTGATCCCTTAACCTCTATTGCTTCTGCCGATGCGGCTGGCCACAGAAAGGAATGCATATCAGAGCAGCTAGGGAGATTTTCTTCTTCCACCCTAAGCAGCCATTCCAAATGCGAAGTAGAATCTCCGTTTGCTCCTAGTTCTCCAGAAATGCCTGCAACTCCCCCTGTTTCCTCTGCACTCAAGGCAAAGGCTGTGTACTGCATGAGGAGTGAAGTGCACGAGGCCCGTTTGCAATGCCATGAGGTTCCCAGAAGCATGACAGAAGCACAGAGAAAATTGCATGACAGAAATAACTTTACTAAAAACCAGGCTAGGCTGCATGCTTCACCCAGTGTATTTTCAGGTCTCTTTCAATCAGACTCCACCAGAAGCTGTCAGAGGCAGATGGCTACCCGAGAAGAGATTAAAAGCATATCTGAAAAGAACAGCAAGGTCAGCCTCTCTGGACAGGCGCCTAACTTCTCCAAGCTTCTGTCTAATGTAACTGTCATGGAAGGTGCTCCGGTGACTTTGGAAGTAGAAGTAACAGGATTCCCAGAACCTACACTGACCTGGTGGGTAGCTTACAATGAAAAAACCTAAATATAGAGTAATCCAGCAAACACAAATCTGAAAATTGGATAATCAATAGTATTCACATCACATTTCCACATAATTCCATTCCCATAGTGTCTGCACAATATTAGCCCTTACTGTCAGTTTTCAGATTTTGAAATAATTCATGCATATCCAGTCCACACATTTTAAATAGTATTTGAAGACAAATGAAATTAAAACATTTCTGTTTAGCAATAAACATTCCAGCCAATAAACATTACAATTCCTTTTATAAGAGCCGAATTCTTAGAAATTCCTTTGCATTTTAAGATCAAGCTTTATCTTAGCTACAGAAACCGAGTAGAGAAGAAATCCTATACCTTGTGTTGGATTCAGTGTACCTCATGTCTTGTCACTGATCCACAAACTAGCCCTGTAACCCCATAGAAGTGACCCCCTATCTTGTGAGATTTGCCAGAGTATGCCCATACAGTACTCACATTTATACTGTAGTAGGATTCATAGTTAAGAGACAATTGGCCTCTGTATTTAATCTACTTGCTTTGAAACTAGAAGTCCAAAAGTTCTTTTGTTTCTGCAGACATTTTCCGTATACAGGTGGGAGAACCAACAGGATATAGTTGGCCAACTAGCAACAAGAGAGTAGGAGAAGCACTATAATATTCAAGGATAATGGAAACAAGCTTTCTTGGGAGTATTTATAGGAGAGTATATATACTAAATAAATCAGACCTCTGGTCTCCAGTGCGCAGAAAAGTTGATGCTAAATCCCAGAATTAGCAAACGTTAATTAAATTGCATTGATCTTTTGTGTATAATTAATGCACATTCAGGCTTACTGCTATTGCTGGCTATAAATCTAAATCCAGAAATGTTAAGAGTTTATACAGAGGGTCCTAGGGAATGAAAGGAATTCCAGTCAAGCTTTGATTTGAAAAAGGAAGAGTTTAGAGCAGAGCAAAGACCCCTATTGCAAACTAGGCCTAGAGAAGTAATGAATTATGCACTGGATCAGCTGAGGGCTCCAATCATCACCTCTCCTTGGTACCAGAATTACAGAGTTGGTAACTGAAAGAATTCCTCATGTGGTCCCATGACTGGGCAGAGTTTCAAAGGAATTTCTTACTATTGTAAATAGGTGGGATATAATTTAACAAAATAAAAACTGATGACTATATCTATCAGGCAGTTTTATAATGCTGAGTAGATCAGTAGAAATCTACTCCATTTTACATTCTATTCTGGGCCACCTTTTATCAGATGTATGGCTTGTCTTTTGTTTAGGAGCTATTTCCCCCCACAATAGCCACATTATGAAATCGGTTGGCCTGATAGAGAGCGACTGACCCCAAATCACTCAGGGAGCTTCCATGGTGGAAGGTGGGCTAGAAACCTGGTCTTCTCACTTCAAGACCAATATGTTGACCACTACACCATCCTGATGCTCATTTAATGTTTCTGATCTTTGCTTTGAAGGGTAAGCTACAGAGTTTTGATACAGAGTTAAAAAGGTGCTGGTAGCCTTTCCCATACTTGATGGGCAATAGCTTCTGTAATTTCCAAGCTAGCAGGAAGAGTGCACCAAATCAGGCAATGACTAGGTTATAGGATACCTCTAGTTAAGAAATTCAAGAATGAAGAGAGAGTGAGACTGAGAGATCTTTATGTATTAATCCTAATGTGGAGCTTAGTAAATTCATGGTAGAGTGGAAGTGAATAGAGAGGGGGTTAGCTAAATAAAACCCAGATTGATTCTAAATTCATCTCATATTAGTAGTTACTTCCCTTCATCCTTCTATAGCTGCCTCTTTTTTATTATAGTTTTTGGATTCTTTCAATCAGCATATTTTATCCTATCTTTCTATAATAGTGCTAAATATAGAAGGAAATCAGAATTGGAAAGAGCAAAAACATTTTCGTTATGAGTATGTATAACAAATCTGAAAGAAACTAACACATTTGATAAAATTTGCTAATAAAAGGCAATTTTTAAAAAAATCTATCACTACAGTTTGCCTGAATCACTAATCCAATTCTTAAAGTTGTTTCCTTTGTTCTTTGCTTTTAAAATACCTTATCACTTTCCCTTTGGATCATTAATGCTCCCAGCTTTAAACACTTTATTTGGTACAAAATGTGATTACAGCTTGTCCAACTTATTAAATAAACGTTTACAATTAAACAATCTCTCAAGTCATCATAGTATTATAAAAACAATTTAAGAAGAAACCTTCTCAATAAAAACTTGCTATGTTCTAATATTGGCAATCACAGAATGTGCTTTTCTTTTTAACCAAAAAAAAAAAAAAAAAAAGGAAACCTGTATTTAAAGGGCACTAATAAATAAGGTGATATGCAGATGAACTAGTAGGAGCCAGTTCATAAAGGAATGACTAGCCATAGGCAGACAGAAGGTAGTGAACAGCAGGCTTTCACCTTTCCTGCCCCAATTCGTGACACTCGGAATCAGAAGTGGTATACCTAGGACATTTTAGAGCTTGGACAGTAATCTTATATGGTCCCCCGGTAGGTATATATGTTCTCTTATTTCCACTCTGAAGCACACAGTTAACATTTTGTATCTTCACTTCTCCTACAACTATTCCATGCTTTGCAGCTACTTCTTCATAAACTGAAGTTATATACTTATGCAGTTTTGAATTTACCAGTCAAATTATTCATGACACTGTCCTGACCTCAGCAATAAAAGGGAATTTCCTTCTACTGCATTGATGGCAAATCTTTGGCAGTAAGCAACCTTTACCTGTTGAAAATGATGATATTGTTTTAACGGAAAAAATAAAACAAGCATTTGTAACTGAGTACATGCTTGGTTGCCCATCTCCTGATTGTAAAATGTTTTAAGGGCAAGAAGAAGAGTTGGCTGGGTGAATAGCATCAGCCCAGTGGACCTTGACAAGCCCATGCTGGTCCTTCTGCTCAAACTAGGTCCATTTGCTATTATCCCTATTCCATTCTCTGGTCATCTGGCCCTTTTCAACTGTGGTGCCCTGAACTTTAGCCTCAAGGGCCAGTTACCAGTGCAAAACAGCATTTTCTATGTGCATTTTAGGAAATTCTTTTTAAATGATAGACCGCTAATAGTAAGAAGACTAGCAGATATACTACTGTGATGGGAAATCCACAGATATAGCTGGCTCTGCTGTTCAAAAATTTGCCTATTACATTCAACCACATACCACTTTGTTTTGCAAAGGCCAAATTTTGCTAAGAAGTGATACATGATGGTCAAAGAATTTTTCAACTCCTTTCTTATTGTCATCAGTAATGGAGACAGACACACATACAGAACAGGACTGTGTGAAGTGACTAAGATTCACTTCAGTGAAGCGATTTGGGCCATAGAAGTTTCCTGATTGAGTTCACGGAAGTGAAGAGGCCACCTAATTCACCTTAACAAAGTAATTTGTCTGGCCCTGAACCCCTTCAGGCCAATGGTCCAGGAGAAGGCCCTTTCAGCCTTTTTTTTCCAGTGCTGGCCAAGAGCTTCTAGACTGGCAGCTTTTGGATTCTCCTACTAAGAGCACCAAAGCTCTTAGACAGTGTATCCTGGAGGAGGTGAGCCAGCAGTATTGTCCACCCACTTCCTTCACATTGGCTAGCCTAAGTTTGTTCCTTCAAAGCTTCACACAGCCTTAACATTGAGACAGACCATGTGGACATGGCTCTGCTTTACTAATAGGTACAAACCAAATAAAAATTTATAGCAGGGCTTTTCCCTTCATTGAAAGAGCATGAACTCATAATTTCAGGTCCATTTTCCCCTCAATTACAACAGTAAATCAGTAGTGATAGTAATTAATTTTGTAGCATACATTTAAAGGGGAAAACCAACACTTTCTATATAAATAGTTTTTGCATACTTCAAGCTCTGGCCTAGTCTTATTGCAGTCAAACAAAGGCTGTGGGAAGATTTATTTCTGAAGAATATTTGTTTTTAGGGTGTTATTTCATTTGTTTCCTTCTACTTATACCTTTCTTCCATTTTGTTTTTAATCACAAATCTTCTTTCTTTTAAATATCATGTGCTGGGGACTCACTGTTAGGAATAGTTTCTACTGTTAACCTACCTTCATATTGTGTAAGAGGTTGCCTGACATCGCAGATTATCATTACTTCAGCCAACATTCCTGTTAACCTGACTCTCTACTCCAGGTACAAGAAGGGCCAGAGAGTGACTGGAGATGAGCACGTAAAGCTCTTACACAAGGACACACAGTATACATTGTTCATTGAGAAGGTGTATGATACAGATGCTGGACTGTATGTGGTTCGGGCTAAAAATTCTAGCGGCACAGTGTCCTCCAGTGCCATCCTCCGGGTGAAAGGTAACGGGCCACCTATAAAAAGAGTAGACTGGATAACCCTTTGTGCTTTCTACTTGATTGCATCACTTGCCCACTGGTTGTTCACTTAGTGCAACCAACTGACTTCACTGGACTTTAACTCTCACAAAGGAAGACAACAACAAGCAGCCATGTTTTGATGCATCTCACTTCACCTTTGACACTCTTATCAGTCACTCTGAATGTAGTGCTTTTGATATTTCTGTCACAGCCACCCTGGATGTTATCCTTTAGACTACAGTAAAGTAAAGATTATAAGAAAATATCTCACAGGGCTATGATTGATCTGTGTAATACAAGATGCTTGTTTCACTCTATATACGGCTTACAAATATCATGGTTGCTTTAATGCCACTTTATGAAAAAACACTAATGTTTTGTTTTGTTATATATATATATATATGTATATGTGTGTGTGTATGTATGTATGTATGTGTGTATATATATGTATGTGTGTGTGTGTGTGTATATATATATATATATAGCAAAACAAAACATTAGTGTTTTTTCAACTAAACTACTTTTTATTTTTTAAATGTGATAACCAAAACACCTTTGACACTCTTATCAGTCACTCTGAATGTAGTGCTTTTGATATTTCTGTCACAGCCACCCTGGATGTTATCATCATAATGGTTCAAAAAGCTTCTCTTTGTCCTGGTGAAACTTACATCAGTTCTGTAAAGAAGGTCACTAACTAAAGCTGAAAGAATACCAGATGGCTTAAAGCCACCAATAGTACAAACCTATATATGAACATTCAGTCTATGTAGGTTTAATATAGCTTAGTTCTTATTAGGATTACAATCATAGTATTTACTCTTTTAAAAATCAGAAACAACAAAGAATTCAGTGCGATCTATAAAAATATGAGATGTATTTGTTTGCAATAAGTAAAAAAAAAAAAATACATACTAGGCAAATAATTGATACAATTTTAAATTGTTAAAATAATTAAAAATGGACAACAGATTTAAATTAACAGTAAAAAAAAAAGAGTTTTATTAGGAACTAAACTACTTTTTATTTTTTAAATGTGATAACCAAAACAACACTGTAGTATTTTCTTGCTCCAATGGATGTAGCAAATTTGATTCTTAAGAAAACATATTGTGAGTTTTGACGAAGGGAAGAAAAGAAGCAGTGGTCCTTAAAGAGTGATTTGTCTTATAAATTCTCACTGTATTCAAATGACACAATATTCATAATGAATTCTTGCCATTATAAAAAAAAATAGACATATATTGCATCTCTGTCATTTAAAGCATGGTTGATAAAAAACATATTTTAATTGGAAATTAGCTTTCGTATAACAATTGTTCTGTGGAATATGTATGAGAAAAAATATATAGTATTGTGATCTTTTGGAAGAAATTTACAATATGGAAAGAAATCTTGAAGAATGCAGTATGCAGTAGAAGATTATATATTACAAATGGTGAGGGTAGGATGCTATAAAGTAGGACTTTCACCAGATTTGTTATAGTCCTGTAAAACTGAGTATTTGACAGTTTTATTTCATCAGATTTGTTATACAGTAGTTCTGTAAAACATGAACTGTTTCAGGGTCCCTGAGGTGAAGAAATTGGTGAAGGGAAGCTGGCTGGTCCAGAGAGGAAAGTTATCCTAGCTCAATTAACAGAATATATTTTGCAGATCATGTGTAGTATTTCCTTTAAATGCAGCCTGTTCACGAAAAATGAATTTATGAAAGTATTGTCGAAGGCTTTCACGGCCGGCATACGATGGCTGGTGTGGGTCTTCCGGGCTGTGTGGCCGTGGTCTTTAAGGTTTGTTTCCTAACGTTTCTCCCCCCCCTTGGACCGGCCTCTTCCG